GAAAAAGATGAAAGTATTTCATGAGTTGAAAAAATATAGCATCTGGGGTCTTAAAGGCTTGAAGATAAAACAAGCGGCCAACTAGTTCAGAAGCAACCAAGCCCACATGGAAGAAGCACGCCAGCATGTGTGATCACGAGCTGTCGAAGGGATCAAGTATCAAGCACCAAAGAACAAAAAAGCATATCACTGTAAAGGTGGGTGAGTGCAGAGTGGAGACTCAAGGCCCATCGGTAGGCAACTGAACACCCCCTTACTGAAGGGCTGTGGGGAGGAGATGAGCCAATCAGGGTGCAGGCTAGCAACAATGAAACACGTAACTTTCCTCTAGTTCTCAAATGCTTCTCGCCGCCCCCTCCCCCCACTATCATGATCCCAATTGTCCCTTACAAATCTGGCTAGACTAGAGGATGTACATTGGTACAGATAGCAACTGGAAACACAGGGAATCCAGGACAGATGACCCCTTTAGTACCAGTGGTGAGAGAGGTGATGCCTGGAGGGTGAAGGGAATGTGGAGTAGAAAGGGGGAACTGATTACAAAAATCTATATATAGCCTCCTCCCTGGGGGATGGACAGCAGAGAAGAGAGTGGAGAGAGACGTTGGACAGTGTAACTTATGACAAAATTACACCAATTTATGAATTATGAAGGGTTCATGATGGAAAGGGGGAGTGGGGAGGGAGGGGGAAAATGAGCAACTGATAAGGGCTAAAGTAGAAGGCAAATGTTTTGAGAATGATGAGGGCAACAAATGTACATATATGCTTGACACAATGGATGTATGTATGGATCGTGATAAGAATTGTATGAGCCCCGAATAAAATAATTTTTTTTTAAAGATTTGAAACTGGGTGAGAAGTGCATGTATTTTTGTGCATGCATGTGTCTGATGTTTTTCACAATAAAATATGGAAGGGAGGAAGGAGCTGCGGTTTGGTCCCAGTCTGGATTTGATCTTGGGGCTGCGGGCTGGCCTTGGAGACTCACTCCTTTTTCTCGTGTATCAAATGGCCACGTGGGCCAGATGATCTCGGAGGCTGCTCTGAGGTTCCACAGCTTTAGACGATGTTTCGATGTTTCGGCATGCAGGTCCTATGCTCCTTCTCACCTCCACATCCCCCCAACTCCCGCTCTCTACCCCGCTGCCACCCTCATCCCGTCTCCTGCCACATTCCCAAATGCTCTGGCAGCCTTCCTGGGAAGGAAAACATAACAGATGTTGAAAATGGTCAAGGGTTAAGCCACTGAGTGATTGTACAGCAAACCAAAATCACATATTTATTGATATTCAAAGGCCTTTCACCCAACCGCACTCTCTAGCACTCAAGAAACTTTCACTCCTGGCCACAGGGGGCCGGGAAAGAAGTCCGAGTTTACAACTGTCTTCCTTATCACACGTTTCCAGGCAGCTGAGTCTCCGTGTTCCCAAGAAAATAAGTGAGATTTCATTGGTTGGGACTCTACTGATGAAATTTTATATATATATATGAAAATGCAGACAGCAGGTTAAAAATCACTTTTTTTTTTTTGCTCTGCAAATTCTTAATAACTAACTTAGAGAAGCAGTAAATATGTAAAGATCAGAGCCAGAAAGGATTCCAAGAGTGGGAACATTCTTCCGAGGTGAGAAAAGCTCAGAGGCACGAGTTCCAGATCATAGAGCGAGTTTAAGAGAAGAACCCAGACTCATGACCAAGGAGCTCCTAGTGACCCGTAGGACAGCACTGAACTGGCCCCTCTGGGTTTCTGAGGTGATACATTTTTAAGGGAACAGACAGTCTCATCTTTCTCCCACTGAGTGGCTAGTGGGTTTGAACTGTCAATCTTTTGGGTTGCCCCAACGCATAGCTCATTATGCCACCAGGGTTCTTTTTCTTAAGCTGGAAATACATGTACAACCAGTCACATATTGTCAAAAAATGTGAAGAACATCTTTTTGACGACATGAGGCAAACCTATCTTTAAGTTGAGTCATGTGAAACTGTGTCAAAACGCAAGAAGAGTGGCAATTTCACATAGTGCACATGACCCTTTTCAAAACAACAGGAAAAGCTTCTTCAGTAACATTAGTCACCCTCGAGGTGATAGAGTAGCACAGACGTCCCCAAGACAATGCTGTACAGTGGATCTCCAATCACAGACGATAGCAAGGGCCCCGCAATAGTTCAATTAACCATATGAGAATGAGCTCAGATGTGAACAAAAGCAATCAGGAGACCAAATGGTCCCGTAAAAGAGAAAGCAAAAATCAGGAAGAACAAGGAAAGTCACCAAGCCGACCTATCGGCACAGCTGAACTTTGACCACAGGATCCGAAAAAAAGTATCAACACAAAAGAATTGAGAATACAAGGTAAAACTCCCTGAAATAATGTGGTCCCATTAAAACAAACCCCAGTGCCCACAGCCATGGATGGCTCACTTCTCCCCCTGCCCAGTACCCCCATCTGCCAGCATCCCTAACAAGTGGATAGGGAGTCACTGATCAACTTCTCCCACAAGAAAGAACCAACCACCTCACCATATGGGGATTAACAATCAGACAAACACTGACGATGGAAAGGGGGAGCTGGTGATGCCGGGCAGATTGACAGCTTGCAGAACCCATGGAAGGCACCCCTGCTACTCCCCACACTGCTGAGTTATCTGGCAAATTACCCTCGGGGAATTAATAAGAGCCAGCGAGTCATCAACAACTCCTCAGCAGTCGATTTGATTTGATTTATGGTTCTGTTCTATTTTTCGGTGACCGCCAGAATTACAATTCCTACACACAGTTCTAATGGTTAAACCTCAGAGGATAAGACCTACTCTTTGGAAGACCCCTTTAAGTGCCCATCAGCTGAGAGACATTTCTGAATTTTTGCAGAACTCCAGGCTTTCCTTAACTTCAGGGGCTTTGTATTAAACTCTCTGTAACCATACAGGTCCTCTTTCTGGAGGGTGAAAGCAAAGGTCCGTAAGCCAGCATTCTCCCCTTTTCAACTCAAAGTAGGATGGCGTGTGTTGCTCTTTGTTCCATCAGATCAGGTCTGTCCTGATGTACCCTTAAATCCACTCGTTGACAGGCCATCGCTGAAGGCAGGATGGTCTAGTGGTAAGAGCCCAAGCGCTAGCGTCTGACTCCCAGTGTTCAACATCCAAGTCCATTACTATCTATGTGAACTTATATCCCCACTGCTGTGGGGCTGTTTCTTACACACATATTTATAGGACAACCTCATCTTCCTTGTGGTTATCAGCTAGAAGGTTTGAACCACCAACCTCGTGGTGAGCAATCTAATGCTTACCCATCAGTGACAATTTTCACTGTGCCTTAGTTCCTCATCTTAACATGTGTATAGTAATAAAATCTTGTTCCTGGAAAGTTGTAAGAGATTAATGAGATTCTAGAAAGCTACATTGACATAAATAGTTAATTATTCTTATTACACAATTGCAATTACTACTACATACTACCAGGCCATCGTTCTTTGGTTACTTCACTACAAAGTAGGAAATCTATAAATGGCATCCCAAATCTTATGTCATAAGGCAAATGTATGAGGACATTAAAAAGGCATTGAGAAGGAAAGAAAGATTTTTTTAAAGGGCAGGGGATGACACATGAATGTACTAAACCATGAGATTTAAAAGTGAATATACGCTTAAGTTATGTCCTCCTCAGAAGCCATAGAAATGCTAGTGTCTGGGATTTAAAGCCTTGTCTTAAAAAACAAGCAGCCATCTAAGTGAGGTGTCAACTTAAGTGACAAGGAAGAAGCACACCAGCCTGTGTGATCCAAGAAAGGAGAGAATGATATCTGAGCTTAAATGATGGACTCAGTTTTCAGAAGGCTGTGGACGGCAGTGGAAGGCCCAACTCCATTTGCAGCGTCCCCCCTCGGATTGAGCTGCTGGTAAATGCCCTCTGAACATGGTCCAGGGATACAAATAGCCTTGCAATCAGAGAACATTGTTAAATCGATTATGGCTTATGTAGTTAGGTTAAAAGGTAATACTTTATCATTTGATCTCCCTTTTCACCCATTTTAAAGTTGTTTCCGTTTTCAATATGTTCTGCTTTCTTTTCAGTTGAGGTTTTTCTCTATTTTGTTTAATCGTTGTTGTTGGGTATTTTGTTGTTGTTGTTTGCTTCCTGGTTGTGTTTTGTATGGTTTTCTGTATATGAAATCTAGGAGAGTGAGTCGATAGGGGCAGCAATGTGATTGATAATTACCTAGGGGCACGGCATGAAAAGTTTGGGATAAATGGGAAGCTAACAATGAGAAGAAACTGTTCTGAAATTGATGGTGATGATGACTGTACAACTCTTCTAAATATGAGTGAACAATTAAATTGTATGCTACATGGTGTATATGCCAATAAATCCATTTATAGATAATAATAATATTAATAATCTATATGGATCTTCCATTTGGAAGCCCCAGGGAGAGAGCCCTGTAGTCAGCCAGCCAGCCTGAGTGAGAATCACTGTGCAGTCCCAAACTTAAGAATTTAGCCTAAGGCTCTCCCATTGCCCTAAAAAAATAAATACGTAGCTTCCCTTTTGTTGTGAGGGTTTGCTCTGCAGGTGCCGACATTACCGTCTCATGAAGAAAATGGAGCTGGCAGAGCTTTTACCCATGACTGAACTTCCACCCCTCTGGCCATAACGAATCACATCTGCATGTCTGTGAAATATTTTTCCTTTGAGTGCCTCACTGCCTGTGAACATGCAGCCTTACTCTGATTGGGAAAAAAAGTTTATGGTAATGAGCCTTAATCTTATCGTTACAAATCACAGAATAAAAAACATAGCTACAAGGACCTGTTTTGTGCACAGATGCCAATTCGAGGGTGTCCTAAGCATGTACCTGTTGAATCAGTTTAAACCGGAGAATGCAGCTGAATGGAGAGCCTGAGGCAAGGGCTGCTCAAGGGTCCAAACAGAGTCTGTCTCCAACTTTGAAATCCTCAAATGTGCTTACTTGGTAGGAAAACGCACACCCACAACATTCTCCATCCCGAACTAGGAAGTTTATTAGGCTCCTCATTTGCATTTTATAGGACGTGGACATGGGTTTACATGCATTGCCTCGAGTCTTCATTGGCTTGGCCTTTGCTTCTACGTGTCATTATGTACAGTTAGCTCAATGTGAGTAAATGACAAACACAGCATGATGCATAAGCCACAGCAACAAGTCCTACCCCACACCGTTTGTTCCCCCAAACTGTATTATAACCCTCTCTTGTAAAAAATACATTTCAAAACAGGGCATTTAATTCACCTCATTGAGAAAAATAAAGACGAGTCTATCATTTAGAGTAATGGATATCCAACTATGGCTGAAAGGTACACCCTGAGAATTAAATGATTTTAACGAACCTATTGAGGTTGATAAAGCTGTATTAACCTAATGTCGGGAAAGGACACAAGATGCAGGCACACATGTCCCTGCTCACTTGGCTGTGCAGTTCTCTAAGGATGCCGTGCTACGCACGTCTTCATTATTGTCGAGGCTGGAGGCATCGGTAGACTCCGGGTCATTCACTACAATTCCCACAGAAGAAAGGCTGGTAATGAAGGCGTGCATCCGCTGTGCATAGATATCCCTAATGTTCAAGTAAGGAAGCTCAGGACATTTCTCCGGAGGGTCCTCGCTGCTTTGGTCCACATCCATGTCCTTCTGTTTCTGGTAGTACTTGGAAAACTTGTTGAAGATGATGGTGATAGGAAGAGCGACCACCAAGATGCCACAGATGATGCACGTGCTGGCAATCAGCTTCCCAGCCAAGGTGACCGGGTGGGTGTCCCCGTAGCCCACGGTTGTCATGCTGATGGTGGCCCACCACCAGCAAATGGGGATGCTGCTGAGGCTCGAAGTGGACTCATCTTTCTCCACGGAGAAGATGAGGACAGAGAAGATGGAAATGCCCACGGACAAGAAGAGGAGGAGCAGCCCGACTTCGTGGTAGCTGTGCCTCAGGGTGGCCCCCAGAGACCGGAGCCCCACTGAGTGTCGGGCAAGCTTTAGAATTCGGAAAATTCTCATCAGCCTCAGGATCTGGACCACCTTGCCCATGTTCTCAATGCCCTCGCTCTCGTCCTCCTTGCTGTCGACAGCCAATGTGGCGTAGAAGGGAATGATGGAGACAAAGTCAATGATGTTTAGAGGGTTTTTCCAGAACTTTTTAGGACAGGGGGCAGCCGCCAGGCGGATGGCCAGCTCCCCAGTAAACCAAGTGATGCATGCAATCTCCACACCTTCCAGCACAGGGTCATCCACCTCTCCGTCCTCATTCTGGAACTCGGACATGCTATGGACACACATGGCCACGATGGAAGCCAGCACCACACTCAAGGACGAGATGGCAATAAGCTTGGCCGACAGGCAATAGGCAGGATTTTCCATTCTGATCCAAATGTTCTTCCGGAGCTGTCCAAATCGCAGCTTGTCAAACTTCTCCAGCTCTTTCTCAAAGAGAGACGACTCTTCGAAGGAGGTATCCGTGCTCACAACGTTGCTTCTCTGGTCCCAGTCCTTCTCGGGGTGGTCCTCCTTGCGCTCCTGATAGCGATGGCTGCAGCAGGGGTCGATGAACAGCTCGTTGATGCCCCAGTACTCGATCTCCTGGCAGAAGGAGAACACACACAGCTCCTCCATGACATGCAGCTTCCCCGTGTAGTAGAAATTCAACACGTACCGGAACAAAGAAGGATTCCTATCGAAATAGTATTCTTTATCAGCCACGCTGTAATCATCACACAACTCCAGAATGGCCTCTTCGGAATGGCAGGCCAGCAACTTCCCGAGTCTGGTGTGAGGAAACCGCAGGAGGGTGCTTTGATCAACCGACTGCTTAAAGCCCCCCACATTCAAGTTGACAAGTTCCTCATCTTGTCCAGGGCGATGGAAAAGCTCACCATACACCATCGTGGATATAAGCAGTGCGGGGACGACTTGGAAGGGAAACAAAGATGATCACTCTGCACCTGGGAAGAACACAAGATGGCATATTAGCACTCTGTCTCTCAGCGCCCAGCCGCTTAGTGTCCATCTGCCCGGTCCAGGGGGATGGGCTCAACGAAAGCCAACCAGGAAGTGGACTAAATGAGGAGCACCTTATTATATACTTTGATTAGAAGAAAATCAACACAGGTCATTTTCCGGCAATTTTGAGTTTATAAAGTCATTTGCTAAGAACATTGAAATATTACAATATTCATTTTTTTTATATTCCTATACTAGAGTTATTAAAATTTAACACACACCCCCATCATAAAAAAAAAGTAGGGGGCATTTTTGGATCACTTACACTACTTAAGCATCACCCGAGTCTCAACCACGAAGTCCTCTGTGTTTGGCAGCACTCAGATCCGACGTCATAAACCAGTTGCTACCAGGCTCGTAGCTCCTTCCTTCGGTTTCTTGGGGCTCGGCCATGCACCCTCAGAAGCAGGTCCTGTTACCACGAGCCCTCCCTTCTGCTCTGCGCCTCACGCCCAAGCAGCACATCATTGGAGGCTCACTTCCGAGCTTACAAAGAATGAGGCTTCTCCCGGTACGTCAATGTTTCCTGTCTTTAAGAGAAAACCCTATTCCCTATGTTTGGATGTCGACAGAGGATTTAATTATCTCCCTGCCCTTAAGTGTCATCTAGCTTAAAGATATAGTTACACTTCGTGGGATGGTGTTTCAGGTGCTTCCATGCGGAAAGACACTGACGTCGGGGAACTCTTTAAGTTAATTGCAGGATCAGTTTCCTAAAACAAAGACACTTCCCTCCCCTCTTGCAGCCTGACCCCACAGCTCAAATCTATGATCACCTCTTCAAATATCCAAGTCTGTGTTCGTCTAGCACATGGCCTGTTTGAGTTCTTGCACTAGCTAGGATATACCAGGGTCCCTTCTCAGGGAGATGAAAATAGATGTTGACCAGCATTCAAGCCTAGGAGCTGCCTCGTACACATCCTCTCAGGTCATCCTTCCAGGACCAGGAGGTGGAGAAGTGCACACCGGCAGATACTGAGAATGAGGGAAATTTCACAGAAAAAATGAATCAAAATATAAGGAAACTTATCGTGATTTTTTTAAAGTCGCCTGATAACAAAAAGGGATTCCTATCCTAATAGGTAAAAATGATAGAGCCAGGATATAAAGTTCAGTTTCATTGACTCAAATGGCTATGTTTTCTAACACATTCATTGCCTCTCTGCTTTCTTTCTAATTTTAATTTAGAAAATTAATGTGGAAAGTGCTAAAACAGGAGTGGATCAAGCATCTTTGGGATTTTTGAGACAAGAGCAATGGCCCTGTTTAGAGAGGCTTCGCAGCAGAGGTGACCTTCAGCTAAAATCTTGAAGGTTCAAGTACAGTTGACCAAACAGTGGGGAAACAGCCAAACAGAAGGCACTAACGAGTGACGAGAAGCTAGATATTGAAGGACTTCATACAGCATGTTATAAAATTTCTCCTTTAGGGAAGTCTACTTAAGGGTCTTAAGCAACAAGTAAGTATGATGGTATTTGTGACTGTGATTAAGAGGAGCCCAGTCTCGCACAAAATCCTAATTCCAACTTAAGTATAATCAGGTCTTACATCATGGCCCTGCTCAATACTCACCTTCATGAAATGATCACTGAAGATAAGGGTGCTACAGCAAAGTGTGGTGAAGAAAGCAGATGGTGCCGAGCTATGAAATGGAATAGTGTCTGGGATCTTAAAGGCTTGTATTAAATCAAGCAGCCATCTAAGCAAGGAGTCAACTAAGTCCTCATGGAAGAAGCACACCAGCTTGTGATATCCAGAGGTGACAATTATAAAATATTAACATGGTTAAGAGAAAAGTATCAGAGCTAAACTTATGAACACCCAGTTTGTTGAGGATGGGGCATGGTGGGAGACCAAAATCTATCTGTAGAGCATCTAGTCAGACTGAGCCACTGGCAGATCCCCTCTAGCCACAGGAAAGGGTCTTGATCAGCCTTACCATCATACAGAGGCCATTGCATTCTTGATTATAGCGGAATGAACCTTGACACTTGGCCAGTTGACCACCCTATATACCTGACCTGAGTTTGTTCTAGGTACAAGTATCTCTTACTGGTTCCATGACAGAAATTTCTTCCCTGGCTTTTTGAATGTCGATGGAGGTCTTTTCCTTCTTACACAGTATTTGTATTTTTGTCTTTGTACTGTTAAAATTTTATCCTCACCACCTTAGTCTGATTTTGTTTTTTATTGTTTTCTGTTGGATCTCCGAGCTGTAAAGCACAGGAGTGGATGAATAATATAATAACTGATACAAGAGTACAGGATATAAAGTTCAGTTTAATTGACTCAAATGTCTATGCTTTCTAACACATTCATTGCCTCTCTGCTTTCTTTCTGCTGCGAAGCCTCTCTAAACAGGGCCATTGCTCTTGTCTCAAAAATCCCAAAGATGCTTGATCCACTCCTGTTTTAGCACTTTCCACCTTAATTTCTAAATTACAATTAGAAAGGGACTATGTAAGGTGACCAGATGTCCCACTTTTGGCGGGACAGTCCTGATTTTTAACAATTTTTCCTGAGTCCTTGGCGTTTTAAAAAAGTCCCGATTTTAGGAAAGAATGCAC